AGTAGGAAATTTACAAAATATCTTCATGGAACATGATCTTTTCTTAATATCCTAATGATTTTTTGGCATAAAAGAAAAATCTATAATTTTGACCCATACAATGTAATTTTGACTATTGCTACAAATATACCCCAGCGACTTAAGACTGGTTTTGTGGTCCAGGGTCACAAATGGGTGCAGGTAGTCATATGAGATGATTCAGGGCTTACATCAGAATTTCTTACCATCTAAATTTACACAGGCCTCAGTTTCAGGCCAGAGCTCCGTTTTCTTCTACGCCTGTCCTGTCCATCTGAGGTAAGCAATATTCATACAATCTGCTGAAACACCCCCTTATCTATGTAGGTCCATTAATATTACACATTCAGCAACTTTGTTGGCAGAAAAATAGCTGCACACAGTAACTATGACCTTACACTCATTTTCTCTCTCACTCTTACAGGTCTTAAAAATGGATCTTATATCTTGCTGTCACTGTCAAAACAAGGAATAAATAACTCCCACACGTAGCCATTAAAGTTGTGCACATCATTAATTTAGTCAAGGCAGTTGAGTAAATCTAAATCCAGGAGGTAACAGGGTTTAAAAAACATATTTTGCCAGCACATGGTAGCCATCCAAATATGTATTTTTGAGAATATTTTTTAAAAACAGTCTGAATAAAAGAAGTTAACCATTGGTTGCTTTTGTCATCTCATGCCCTAAAGTGTGTATTTGTATGAGTGTGCGACGCACATAAAAATGTGTTGTATCTCTTAAAGTCAGAGATGCAATGTAGGATTAGGATTAAAATTGCGTTCAGAGGAATTATAATCGTAGTCTAAATGTTCATGGTTGTCGTCAGATAGACTCAGGCCTCTATGATATTATATAGATATTTCCTGGAGATGTTTTCTTAATCAAACATTCTATGTAAATTGTAGTAGTGAATATTATCATGCATTTCAAGTATATGAACTTGAGTTGAATTTCGAGTTATGTTTAGGTTTGATTTTTGTGTTTCTCAAAAAAAAAAAAAAATGTAATCTATCCATTCTGTCCATAAATGTATTTTTTTTAGTAATGAATTTGAGATTTAATGTTACCTAAGTCATCAATTCTGAGCTCTGCATTGGAGAAAAATAACAATAACAACAACAGCATTCCAATGTGCTGTAGTAGAAGGACACAGTGATGCCAGGGGTCAGAGGTGCTCTAGTAAGCAAGTCTCAGGACATAATCAAAAGCAGCCCTGTGTGTATAAAAGAGAGGTAGAGATGTATTTTTCCTTTCAGTTCAACTGTGCACAAAGTGAAAACAGTTGCAGGAAGGTATGACAGTAAAAGCTGCTTTCTTTCATAACAGAAACAATTCATAACAGAAGAACAGAGAGAGTTGTGGCAAACCAATACTCCCATCAATATTACACACTGCAGCAGAGCAGGGGTTGTCAATTTCAGGTGAAGGAAATCAGATTTCGACTTTCTGTTTAGGAAAGTACTGGGAAATCTCAATTTCTTTATACAACACATTTGAGGTTTAAAGGGATACTTCATCCAAAAATGAAAATGTTGTCGTCATTTGCTCAATGTCATGTTTGTTCTAAACCTTTAGAACTTTGGAAGACAATATTTTGAAAAAAATGTCTGCAGTGTGTTTTGTTTCTATAAAATGAAAATCAATGGGGTCCAAAGTTGTTTGGATCCCAGTGTTCTAATAAATATTTTGTGTTCTGCAGAAGAAAGAAATGTATGCATGAGGGTGAGTAATTGATGATAAAATATTGTTAATTTTTGTATGAATTATCCAATTAAGTGTGCTAGCAGCTATGTAAAAAGAGTCACTGTTTGACTGTTAAGTGCTAAAGATGTCACGTTTTGGCTTATACTGACGTACAATTTTGTTTGATCTGTTTTAAAGAAATAGATGTATTTCATACTAGAGTTTCACAACACCACAGAACACCACAGAATTGTGACAGTATATAAATATTTATGGATGAACAAGCACACAATTCAGTTATAAAGTGTTTTGTATTTGAGATATTTTAATTAACAGTTCAGTGCAGAAAGAAACTGATTTCACTATTTACAAAAAAAAGTGCAATATTCTGATTAACAGCTCATAAAAAAAATATAAAAGCCAAAAGTAAACCATGGTCTGGTCCATATACAGCTTGTTGTGGTCAAGAATTTCCAAGGTTCTCTCAAAGTTATGAACAAACGTTCTTCCAGTAACATTCAAAAGTAACATTCCCATAATGTTTGCAAAATTATAAAATTGATCACACTGTTAGTGTGTGATCCTCAGTTGTTTAATGTATGATTCCTAGTTTATCTCTGTAACCATTTACAAAGTTGGCAAGTGTGTGATGCCTAGTATTATAAAATCAGTACCGGTTTTAAAAGTTGTGTAATGTATGTAAACTCTTCTTAATGGTTTTACATGTGATTAATGTCATAGAAGTCTTATACAAAACTCTTAATATCTTTATGGGACAAATGCATATTATACAGGACAGCTGGCACCTCTAGTATCCCTGTTTGCACTACTTAACATTAACTAGCTGCATTCAACCAATGCATACATAAAGCATCTACTGTGCACTGAATCTACTACAACAATGGAGAAATGTATTTAAGTGAAAAAGTTCCGCACAATGGAGCCCACCATTTGAAAATTGGAGCTGTTGTGTCTGCAGAAGAGAACCAGAGGGCAGGACACACTTTACAATTCATCTCAGTGAAGCTCCTCAGCGACAAATGATCAGCCACAACACAGCATTTCCATAGCTTTATTATGCAGTGGGTCCCCAGGCGCAATAATCATAATATCAAATGACAGGCTTTCTTCAGGCCACTGCTGTAGTTGTAAATAAAAATATGTTAATTTGGCTTGCGGTATTTAAGCGAGCAAGTTACATACATCATTTGTTTGAGTTAATTTGTACACAATCAGGCCGTTCTGAGAAGAGAGATATATGAGCCAGGGAAATAACTAATGCTAATGAATTAGCTAAGTAGGCTTATGTGTAACGATAAGCATTCAGTTTATAGTTTTAGTAGAATAATGTTTTGAATGTGGGTTTACTTAGCTTTTCATTCACCTGTAGTTGTGTTTGATGTGGAAGAGGCAAATATGATTAAGGCAAAATAGAATTAATGTCTGAGTAAATTGTGTATGATGCCAATAGAGAATTTATAGAATTCAATAATAATTTAATTATTTTTGCCTGCTTCTCTCAACATATTCACTGAGATTTAGTACATACAATTTCCCACAAAACAACAACAACAACAACAACAACATAATAATAGTAATAATAAAAAGATCTATTACAAGAGGCATGCTACTCTTGCACATTCATGAGGCAAAATCAAAAGCCAATGGCAATGAACAACTACAGATCTCTATATACAATTCAGCACAGCTCTCGATACTGCCAGCTAGCTGTGAAAAAAGAGTGCAGGCTGAGTACTACAGTAGCTCAACGATTCTCTTGTTGATTTTATGTTTCACTGTGTCAAGTCAAAGAGCAGTCTCTCATTCTTTACACAAACTCTTCTTTTAAAAATGAATTATGATTTTTATGTTATCAGAGATGAACATACACATAACAAATATTGTTTTACACTTGACTGCTCAATGACAAATGACCATTTTACCTTTTAAGGCAAGTTTATCTTTCACAGTGTATATTATCATACCATTTAATCTGTTACATAAATTCATTTTCCAGCCAGCACTATAAAACCGTTTGAGTGACTATAACCCGATCTCATGAAAGTGCATATAAATAGTAGGCCTACGCCAAATAAAAACGAAAACTTGTGGTATTCATACGCAAAAATGGACTTTGGCGTGTATATGCTACGCGATGGATAGGATTAGGGTTGTGGGTAGATGCGTATCATATGTACGCGAAAACTGCGTATCATATGCACGCCAACAAATGTTGTATCACATGCACTGGAAAACTGCGTATTATAGGCCTATGCACGCCAAACACGTGCGTAGCATGTACACGCCAAAATCCATTTTTGCGTATCAATACCACGAGTTTTTGTTTTTATTTGGCTTACTATTTATACGCATTTTTATGAGACCGGGCTCCATTTGTACCATTGTTGTACTATTTTATATGTCATAAGTATACATAGACTGTTTATTTACAATTTATTTTTCTATTTAACTTAACTATAACTATAAATATAAATATAAATTATATTAACTATAAATAAATTATATAATTTTATATATTATTATTAAATCAAAGTCTCATCAAGTTTATGCATTGTTAAACATTTTTATATTATTTGTTGGCGTGCATATGATACGCAGTTTTCGCGTACATATGATACGCATCTACCCATAACCCTAACCCTATCTATCGCGTAGCATATACACGCCAAAATCCATTTTTGCGTATCAATACCACGAGTTTTTGTTTTTATTTGGCTTACTATTTATACGCATTTTTATGAGACCGGGCTCCATTTGTACCATTGTTGTACTATTTTATATGTCATAAGTATACATAGACTGTTTATTTACAATTTATTTTTCTATTTAACTTAACTATAACTATAAATATAAATATAAATTATATTAACTATAAATAAATTATATAATTTTATATATTATTATTAAATCAAAGTCTCATCAAGTTTATGCATTGTTAAACATTTTTATATTGCTTTAAAATAATAAATTATTTTGTCAATGTTTTCAGTTTCTTTTTAGGTCATTAGTTACCAAAAACAAACGCACAAATCATTACAGTGAGTAGTGTGGAAGTTGTTTACTTTGCAATTAGTTTGAGGTGTTCATTTTATTTTATTTTGTACTGTCGATTATATCAGAATTTTTTTAAAGAAGGAACTGCCTGCTTTGCTTCCTGAACGCCGCTTAGAGAAATATCATAATGCAATAGGAGTCGCGGGCGTTCACTAGAAACTAAATATTGTGCCCGTTTGTGTTTGAGAGCGTGGAGCGCGCGTGTGTTGGGAAAGTGGGTGTCGCTGTGCACGCTGCTGGAGGAGCTTCACAGCGATGTGTCGCGGATTTTAAACACACTGTGACATACAGTGGTGGAAGGAGGGAGATCGCGCCGTACTGGATCGTATACTGCAACACTTCTTACTTATGCAATGAGTCCGACCGTTTTCATTCTGATCCAATGTATCTGACGATTCAGTTTCCACGCGCGATGCTCTGACTGCCGTGTGTTTGTTTATATGGAGACACCCTAAAAAACAGTCAACCGGGAAATGGTAACACATGAACCTCCTCACTGGAAGGAACATGGTTGAGAGGAGCAGTAAATTTCTGTTCATCGTTGTCGGCTCGGTTCTGTTCATGCTGATTTTGTATCAGTACGTGGCTCCGGGGATGATGAACTTCGGCTCTCCGCACGGGTACATGCTGGAAGACGATGCGGATCTCTTCCCGACTCCTGATCCACATTACGTGAAGAAATTCTATTTCCCCATCAGGGATCTGGAGAGGACTGTGGATTTTGAAATCAAAGGGGATGATGTGATCGTGTTCCTCCACATCCAGAAGACCGGTGGCACCACGTTCGGGAGGCACCTGGTCCAGAATGTCAGGCTGGAGGTTCCGTGCGACTGTAGACCGGGACAGAAGAAGTGTACCTGTTACCGACCCAACAGGAAAGAGACCTGGCTCTTCTCTCGGTTCTCCACCGGTTGGAGTTGTGGCTTACACGCGGATTGGACCGAACTGACCAACTGCGTACCGGGGGTTTTGAACAAAAAGGAGAACAGGATGAAAAACCAAAGGTGATGCTTGTACAGAATTGTTTTATCTTAAGTGTTGGTTGTGGCTCAAAACCCAGTGAGCTCTACCAAAATGTTCGGGGCATCATAGGCGTGTGCAGCCACAAAATACTATCTCTATACTAGGGATTTGAGACACAGCCCGTGTGTAGAAGAACTTTAGCGAGTAAATAATACCGCTTGCCCTCCCTCATCTGCGAAATACAAGACTATAGCTACTCTTTATATTGGGTTAACCTCTTTCTAAACCCCAGGTAAAGGCCAGTTTTAACCCTGGGTTAAGCAACCTTTCACACTTGTATAGAATGTTAGCACTGCTTTTAACCCTAGGTTAACCCTGAAATGGTCAGGGTTTTTGAAACAGGTCGCGCTATTTCCCCCCCTCAAACATATTATTGACGTCATACATATGCAAATAAGAGCGTTAACCCAAAGTTTGTACATGTACAGTGTGAGCTATCGGAAACTTGACCACTCAGTAGGGTAAAGTAATGTGAAAGATGAAACAAAATAACCCAGGATTAAGATTACTTGGGGTTAACAGTGACACGGTTAAAAACCTAATGATGTTGAGGTCAGTTGGATTTCCGTGGTTATATGAAACTGGATGGCAACCTTTCAAAAAATGAACATGGAAACCATAGTAGCTATATCAGTATTTTACTAAATGTAAAAATTCTGAAAAGAAACTTACTGTAGTTAACTTAATTCAAACAATGTAAGAAGCATCAAAATCTCTCTGATTTCGTTTTTAGTTCTATCTTGGCTCCTAGTTACCTAGTTATAATGTAATTCATTTTGGACAAAACTATGTTTACCATGTTAAAGTTTTGGAAGGTAAAGCTCTCATGGTGCCTATCCTACTATTTCAGGTGGAAACAGAACTTGCTGTGTTAGATGTTTGTGTCATTTTCGATTTCTGCATGTTTGTGTTTTTTCCAGTGATGGAGGTGGAAAATTACTGTGTTATAAAACAGCCCCTTGTAAACACTGTAGTGAGCACTGGCGGCCAGGATAGTGGTTACAGGACTCACCACATCAGGAAGCTCCATAGCAGTCATGTCAGGAATAACCAGCCACTGGTAGTTAGTGTCATCTTGTTGTGTTCTGTGTAAGAATTGTAAATTTGACTTAATTATCGTTCCCCAATCAAATGTGATGGTCTCACAAAAGCATATAGACCCAAGTGGGCATTGGAGTAGGTTACTGTTTGCATTATACGTTTAGTTTTGCAATGGCATGAAATCCATCTCAGAACCATGTACGTAGACTGTTTTAGTTTTGAATAGGATTTTGTAGATTAAATTATTTAAGCTCTGAAAAGTCAAATACATCAGATCAGATTTAGCAAATAATCACCAGCTGACTCCTCTTTCTGAAAGAACACAGTCTAGATCCAACATCCCCTCGAGTGTACAACATCCCTCGTATCACAGCGATGCTATTACTCTTTTTGCTTTTGGCAACCTTAGGAATGCAGCACTGATTATGGATGCACATTCCTCTCCTTGATTAATCTCTCCTGTGATAAAGGCAGACATACCACACCAGTGTTATTCTCCCCTAATTCATCACGCATGTGTACACGTTTTTTCTGTGAAATTAGCACAGGGTCAGCGGTAAAAGAGGTGAGAGGAATTTTGTCTCTTTGTATCTCTGCATTTTTAATATCTGCATTATTCTGATAATTAGATGGAAAATACTGTGCGTAGATAATTCGGATTTGATATACTGCTTTGTTGCACAGATCTAAGTGCTCTTTTTACATTAGCTACAGTGATTTCAAACTCAAAGGGCCAGTGTAGGGTGAATTGAAGCTTTGTTCATTGCAATTTCTTGAAGCTATAAAACTAAATTAAAAGGATATTTTTTAATCTGTAAAAAATGCTCAAAACTTGAATTTGGGTGCTTTAGGAAAATTAAAAGGCTGAATAAAAATGTAATTTTTATGTAATCAATGGCAATTGAGTCGTGATGGTGGTCACATAGTAGACTGAGAAAAGTGGCGCTGTTTATGACCCGTGAAATCTCTCGTGGAGATTTTGAGCGACTGAGGACTGCTGGGCTGTTTGTCTTGATGTGGTTGTGTTTTTAGATTTGTATTTTTAAACCAAAATATTAATGGGAACTATCATGTTTTATTCTCACATATGTGGCCTTCAAGTAAACATTTTTTTTTCCAGATTACACAATTGGTCATTGTAGATGTTTGTTCATAACAGTTCTGTTCCAGTAATGGAAGATTTCACAGGGATGTGCATTAATTTTAATGGTAATTTTGTGCTTTGTTATCGTTAGAAGATCAGCAAGTATGTGGAACTTCTTAATTTACATTTTTGTGAGAAATTCGTTAAAAAAAGAACAGTTCATAAGGGACATTTGTTTGTGAATCACACTTTGTTGATTGGTTGCATCTGCTATCATTTTACTTGCAGTCTGGATCCCTAATTAATGTAGGTGTTGTCATGATGTTGACAATTAAATTTAAAGTTTACTTGTCATATTTAGGAAGGCAGTGAAATGCCTTTTTTTAGTGGTAGACCGATACATCGCCAGGACTGCTATATATCGTATGATATTTGGCAATTGGCTGATCAGTATTTCTGTTTGGCGAATGTGTCAGTGCTGAATGCTTTTACTGCCTTTAAATTAAATAGTGTGATATCATATATATCGGCTTTATAACGACCATCAGCCACCCTGCTCTCTAAGATATCAGCATTGGCCATCAAAAATTTAATTCTAAATTTTAAATTTTCTAAAATATTCTGAGATGTGTACTTCAGCCTTAACCTCTTCATGCTACGTTTACACAAGTGCGTTTTTGTTTTAAAAAGCATAACCTTTGCCACGGTTCCGCCTGTTGTTTACACTACTCTGGTGTTTTCGACCCTCGTCTTCCTCGTTGCGTTTCAGTGTAAACGGACCAAAACGGAGACTTTTGAAAATGATGGCATGGCTGCCCACATTCGCTCTGCGCATCCTTGACGACCGTGTAAACAATAACATCATGCTCATTGTTGTACCTGTATGAATGGTCATATGACATGCATTTTTCGGTTGTGTAGTGTGGACGGAGAACGTTTCTGAAACGCAAGTGTAGACGAGGATCGTTTTCATCCCACTAGTGTAAACAGGGCTTCAGTTTTAACTGCTTGTGCAAGAGATTAGGAGCATGTTGGGCGGCCACAGCAAAGGGTTTAACACCTGTTGTCTGTCCAGTGAGTTTCAGTTCACGGAGGCCAACGCCATTCGCACCAACAGGCAGGAAGCCATCTGACAGCTCTGCCAATCTGCATGCTTGTTAGACGTGTTTAACAGGCTTGTTTACATTTAAATCTCTCTCGGCTCCTGAGACTATGGAAGCCTCGCTTGCACTCCTCTTCATGGCCATTAACATGGCGAAGGACAAGCTTTTAATTACACGTAGGTCTTATTTGAATTGTTGGGATTTCTAGAGTCACATTTTCCAAATCGCATTCTCGCCGTGCCGCTCCCCCAGGGACCTTGTGGACGTGAGAGCAATGGGGGCATTTTAATTGCTTAACGAGATGTGTATCATCACATTCTCATTGAGGCACCAGTTTCATACAGGAAGCCATCTGGCGAGTAGTGTGTTGCTCTCAGGCATGAAGCACAGGGGTTTCTGATAGACCAGTGAATGGTGACCAGAGGAGAGTGACGTCTTGTGTGGGTGTGAGGTATGAGAATGTTTCCCACAGCGAGTGCGTGTGCAATCAGCCACCAGCGGTTGTGTTTTACCC